AATTGCCCGGTAGAAGAAGAGATATAATATCTTGAGACTTCTTTGAGTTAAAATTTTAATAACTTTATTCTTATTATATAAATAATTGAAATATAATATAAAATTTTATATAAGACGTACATCTAATTTACATTACACTGCCTACCTTTCATTAAGGGCTACTTTTTATACACATCTTGAAAAACCAACTATTATTATACAACTTGATATAGAAATATTAAGCTAATACGTATAAAAAATAATTCGTAAATATAATGAAATATTCAACAAAACGATCAGGATTTGAACCTGCAATGTTCAGAATATAGCTTCAGTTACTTTCCCGACTAAGCTATCGTGTCCATACTAAAATCGGTGCATAAGCATTATATATACTTAAGTTACATTACAGAGGTAGGAGGTTCGATTCCTGCTTGTATTAACTTTTTAGTATATCCCTACTAATATTATAAAAGCGAAAGTAACTGTTTGTCTGTCTGTCTGTTACGCTTTCACGCTTAAAACACTGAACCAATTTTAATGACATTTGGTATAGAGTTGACTTTGAGAAAGAACATAGGACAGTTTTTATCTCAGAATTTTGAAAGGTTCTCTTGGAAACGCGATATAACCGAAATCCACGCCGGCGAAGCTGCGGGCGGAAATCTAGTATTCTATAATTTAATAATAAATTTAATACATATATAAATAATTATAAAATGTTTATCGTCATTGTCAATCTATGTGAAATGAAACAGCGATAGTGTTCGTGCTTCCTTAAGCATGACCGTAAGTTGGTAAAATCAACTGTATTTATTCGTATTCACCATGTAATTTCATGGCTATGACTAAATACAAGAAAATAAGGTATAGAACATCGTTAGGTCTTTTTGGAGATTCTTAGGGGAGGCCTATGTCCTGCAGGGAACGTCTTAATAATGATGATGATGAATGTGGCCTAGTGGTTAAAAGACCCGCCTCTCATGCATGAGGGCGCGGGTTCGATCCTGGTAAGTACCAATGTGATTTTTTCGAGTCATATTATGTAAGAGTATTTAGACATCACTGATTAATGCATTCCCAAAAGAGGATTGATGTCAGGCAGGCGGCCGGTCTTAAAAAAAATTAGCCAAAACTACTCACAACATGTAAGGCAGACCCTGGCTAGAGCTGGGAAATTGCCAGGTAGAAAAAGATGATGATGATATGTATAGAAAAAATATTATTTAAATTCTATAGCTTATATTTTCTTGTATTTACAAACTTTAAGCAAACAAGTCGTATAAAATGATTAAGATTTCATGATGCTGGTAGATAATAAAAATGATTTAAATATAAAATAAATCTATATTTTAAATATCCAAAATCATTAGTATCGTTATTTTTTAACTAATTTTTGTATTGTACTGACTGATTATTATTAAAAAAATTATATTTAAATTTTAAGGTTTTGAGAAATGAAGCAAATGTAAAAAATTAAGAGAGTATTGAAAACATTGTAGTTATATCTTTGAACATTTATCCAGAGAATTTCATTTTAGAGTAATTAAAAAAAAATACATATAATTTTAAAATATTACTATCATTTATCCACTAAAACCATTTATATTTGGCATCTCTTTGCCAGAGACCGTGCAAAGTGGAGTAGTTTGAGAAGAAAGGCAGACCCTGGCTAAAGCTGGGTTAATTGCTAGAAAGTAGACCTCTCTTAACAACAATAATGATGATCACTTAATTAGTTTGTCGTAAAACAATGATTCAATAACATTTTTATATACTAACTAGCTTTCCAAAAGAACTTTTCAAAAGTCTGGGATAAAAACTATCCTATGTTCTTTCTAAAGGTCAACTCTATGTCTGTACCAAATTTCATCAAAATCAGATCAGTGGTTTAGGAGTGAAAGCATAACAGACAGACAGACAGAGTTACTTTCGCATTTATAATATTAGTAGGGATTTTCATTTAATAAATTGTTAATACATTATCCCATAATAGGAAGCTTTATCTTTTTTATAGGAAGATTTTTTATATATTATCCCATAATTATGTAACAAGATTGTTACTTACTGAAGTCATTGGAGATCAAAGATTACATAGACAAGCAAAATAAGAGTTTGTAATAATAATTTGATTAAATAATTACGTGAAAGTAAAAGTTTAAGTCATATTTCTGTATAAAACAAATATTATTTGCATAAATCTTTGTGTATAAAACGAAATAACTAGAAGAAGACGAATACTTTGATACAAGAGTTAATTCACACATTCTTATTGTAAAATATACCTTAAAATCTTAATAATAATGTTTAATTTACATTGCCTTCTCGCATATGCAATTTTCCTATACATTTTGGTTAAATTCATCCAAAACTATGTTTTCAAACTTGTTTTCTAACTGTTATTAAATAACTTACATCAATACGAATGCTTATATTTGAATTTGAATTATATGAATGCAATGATAATCATGAATAAATTATACGAAACATAACATAATAATATTAAAACTGGCTTCTGTTGCGTAAGCTGGGCTTATTGTTTTATACAATTATATTTTGTGTTGAGTTATAAGCAATAATGACATCAAGGAAAACTTGTATAAGTGAGAGTATGAAGGGCTTATTTATATATAATACTATATGTATATATTTTTTATTTAAATGGAAAGAGAAGATATGATTTTCATTAACTAAAAAAAAGCTATTAATGCGTTTTTGTCTTAAAAGAGAATTATAAACTCAATTATATTCTTAAAAAAATGAAAAGGTTGACTTACTTAAAAAGATCTAAGATTTTCGCGAGTATTCATTTAAACGAAACTAATATTTTACGGATGTACCTACTACGCGATTTTATTTTTGATAAAAAAAAGAAAATCGTCGGGAATATGTAGTTTTTTATCAAAAATAAAATTGCGTTGACTCACTTACTAGCCATTTTAATATAAGAAAAAATTCATATCTGAGTCTTTTATAATTTTTTTAATATTTAATTTCTATTTTTCTTTTGGTTTCCATGTCTTAGGAGTCTGGACATATAACCAATTGTTCTAGTAATATGGTCATTTGTCATACGATTGATGCTTAGTTAGTTGTTTAAAAGTATTATATAGTAATAATGAAAAACAAAATAATAAGATCGAAAGATAGCTTTATATTTATTTTGTATATCTTTCAATACAACCATAAATATACATGAAATGTAATAATTTAAGAATTCATTATATATCAGCTTTTAAATAGATTGCTATATTAAGGCAGTATATTCAAAATATTTAGACATATTTAAATTTTATTATAATTCAGTAGACATGAAATTTTCATACAAATGAACTGAGACATCGAAATTATTTGGCAAGACAGTATGCCTTATAAAAAGGTTCAAATTACCTAGTTAGAATTAACTAACTAAAATTTGGTAATTAAAAATCGTTTCTCAAACACCATTCAATTATAATAATACCGGGATATTTATTTTTAATCAAATTTATTTTCATCAAAAACTATTAAATGTACAAAAAAACGAGTATATTAAATCCAAGGTGCAGTTTAAGAGCATAAAAAAATCGTAACATTAAATTTATTTCGAACTCTCTGGCTATGTATTTAAGGTTTATTTTGTTTTAACTACGGAAGTGAATGTTCGGATACGGCACATCACATTTCGCCTTTCGCTTGTGTATTTTTTATTTTATTTTAATTCATTTTTTATTGAGTGTTGTTCAAACTTTTGACAAATGTCACCAAAACATTTGATGTGCTATCATTTTAAATAATAACATCTCAATATAGGTTTCTTTGGTTAATATTTCATGATTCCAGTGCGAATGAAGCATTATTTTTATATATTGATATATTTCTGCAATATTATGGAAGCAATAATAAGCAGACTGAATGGTCTTTTCGATTAAAACTATCAATATTTCTACACAAAAGAGGCCATATTTTTTTGCGTTTGGAAGCAAAATAATAAAATTTATTTTTAATTCTACAATAACATTCAATTTTAAGTGAAAGCCACATAACTATATTTTTAATATTATTCTTCATTATTTAACTTATCGGTTTATTATCTATATGTATAATTTACAGAAAAATAAACAGATAATTAAATATTTCTAACTGAACAATGTTTTTTTCTTTTGAGTCTAGACCGAAAGCAATAATATCTATGCTTTATTTATACTGCTTACACTTACTGCTTAAAATAAAAAAACACGATTTTTGTAAATATAAAATTACTCAGACTTATTATTTTATTTGTAGCTTTATAACATAACTTCCAGGATAAAATAGTTTTATTCCAGACTTAAAACCTCCTTGCTGCAATCTATAACTAGACTTACAACTTTTTAAAACCGATACTATTTAGGAAAGATTACGTCTGCATCACTATAAATGACGGTAACAGATTGAAAGTTACGGTTTTTACAACTTTATACTAATTTAATGTACCACAAGCATGAGGTAGGACCACCCTAATTTTTGTGCACATATTCGGATCACTGGCTTTGTAATTTTTATCATGTTACTTAAAAAAAAATCGACCTTTAAATACACTATTCCATATCAATTGGGTTTTAGGTACATCACAAATTTTTATATGATTTTTAAATAAGACAATTGTATCAGTCCTAAAACAAGTATAGTTTATATAAGGTATAATAATAAATACAACTATAACTAGATTGTATGAAAAAATACACAACTTCTAGAACAGATACATTCACACACAACAATAAGACAATGAGTTTCGTAACATGAGACTGTTTTCATTGTAATTTAGTAACCTATTTACAAATACTGTAACAATCATTATAATTTTTATTATGCCTAATAATCCTTTTTTCATCAAAAACTTCATACGCGGGAAGCCTTATTCCAGTCAGCCATCTTGTTATTCAATCCCCACCCCTTAGCACGTAATAAAACTCACTGACCACAGCTCAAACAACTCAGTTAGAAGCTCACGCGTTATAACGCGACATACGGTTATTGTAAGCACTCGTAAGGTGTTTAATATGAAGTACCTTATTGTTCTGGCTATAATCGCGTTCTCGTACGCAGCTGAGGAAAAAAATGATGAACGCCCGAAGACTTTCCGCCGGCTCATCCCAGCTGATGTATTAAGAGGTCAGTTATTTTAAATAAAACAATTGTTTCAAATTTGAGGGATAAAATTAAATATTACGATGATTTTGGCCATGATGTAGTGAAATGGGCAAACAATTTATTAATAATATATATATCATCTTCTTCGTTGTTTGGTAATATGCAATTATATAACTTTGTTTTGTATAGATGATATAAATTAAGTAATAAATTCTATTGACAGTTATAGTTCAGGTTAGACTGCTATTTTATTGGGATAACTTAATGTCTGAAGTAAGCTTATTTTATTGCCTATTACTGTTTTTTTTTATATGGGAAGAAAAGCTTAAAATGTTAATCCAAAATGGTTAATTATTTAATTTACTTCATTTCTACTAATATTTTAATATTATGTATATTTTTTATACCACAATAAAATTAAATTTAAAATAACTTAATTTTATATGATAAGTACTTATTTTTTTATCGACGGATTCGATACGGAGTTATACTTTCTTATTTCTTTTTTTTACAATAAGATTTTGAATTATTGCCATACTTAGAATCATTAATTATTTTATGACGTATTTTTCACAAAAAAAAAATCATATGTAACATTTACCTAATGTTATAAATTAAAAAATATTTATAAAATTATATAACCTTGACCTTGGCCGTCAAAAGTTGAAACTAATCGAGCTATTAAGTTTTTTGTCACAATTTCATTGACTCCAATTTTTTATATATAAAAAAAACTTTAATGTCATCAAAAATGGTTTTTAATTTAAATATACCATATATTATATCCAGTTCAAAAACGTGATACAAAAAAACGATTGGATATTCGTTATTATAATTTATTTCATATTGATATGTAATTATGATAAACTGTACAAAATAAAACATTTTCTAAAACCTTCCTACGAAATAACAAATGCATCATGCAATAGGAGATGTTGTAATCGAGACGGTTGCGTGTATTCGCGGCTTAATTAGCCATTTTTTTTTATTATGACACCTTCAGACCCGGCTGCCTATGCACGGAAAAAAATAATTTCCATATATTCTGTTGTAATTAACGCTATTTTTACTTTTGCTTTGTTACGTCTAGTATGTATGTGTAAAATTTTTTTGAGTGTTTTTATAAAGATACTATTATTTAATAAATAATATGAATATTTCGGTCTTTTGTCAACGATTTTTTTGTTTTTCCTTATGAGTTTTATAAAATTTCCTGGTGGCCTTTGCGGTAAAAGGTTCTGAGTCAGAATGTGAGAGGCAAAAGCCTTGGAAGGTTCTAGACTAGCCTTATTCCTAGCTCATGTGCATTTAATCTAGACCACTTAGTGTTTATATTAAAATGTGGAGCATGTCAAAATATATATGTTATGGAAACGAAAATAAAGTGAATTTTAATTAAAAATATTAACATAATAAAAAATAATAAACGTTGCGGAATATAAAATCGATATTGTAAATTTTAAATGGCTTGATTAATAATGATATTTTTCCGATGTTACAAAAGCATTTGGCATCCTTTGAACTAGTTTGCATAATTTATGGACTTAAATTGATGATCCAATTGATACATAAACTGGTTATAATTTATCCAGTTTATTATATGATCATTATTATTGCACGGAATACCCATTTCTGTATGTTGCCAAGCCATTATGTAAATATATATCTGTTTTAAAGTTCGATCGCCATTTTGTGATCGTGACAATTTCACGTTACGTCATTTTGACAGACAATTGAAAGTGAAATCAATAAGGAAGCTTGGTGCTAGAGCAATTACGTCTATTCCTGATTTATATGACTGAAATATGAAAAAAATATACGATTTTTTACATACTAAATTTCCTACGTTCTTAAAAAATATCTTTGTATAATCAAAATATATGAAAAATTCAAATTAAAATAAGGACTTGAAGACGTTTTAATAAATTAACTTTCTAATTACAGATAATCATAAAAAGACGATTTGTCGCTAAAAATTATAATACTTTAGTCACGACATTTTTATTATAATTAGGTGAGTTGAAAGATGCGTTGTAGAGAGTACGATGCACTCGCGTTATGCAACTTTTACATCGATCGAGTGAACGCATCTTACATATAATGATATATATTTATATACTTTATATATATGTATATAATAGAATACGCTTTTAGTTATCGCGGTTAAATAATTAGAAGGTTTGAATTATGTAAACTTAATTAAGTAATAAGTACTATATATATATATATATATATATATATATATATATATATATATATATATATATATATATATATATATATATATATATATATATATCACTTTTTAAATAACAAAATAAGAGTGAAAGTGTATATGTAGCACGATTTCATAATAAATTGTGTAATGTAGTTACTGGTTTAGTTTTTAGGTGCTGATAAACGATCAATCTAGAAATTACTAACAGGATTACTCAAATAAAATGATATTTAATAAATGAACTTAGATTTAATAAATATATTTTCAAATGTAATTAAGTTTCATTTTTGAATGCATAACAACAATGCTACAAGAGCCATTCACTTCACACAATCCTTGAAAACAAAGACGTGTATGAAATAAAATTGTATATTATTATTTTTTAATATATTTATTGTATTATATTGTAGATTTCCGTAAGTATTCATCGACTTATAAGTAGTTGTTACGACTTATATTGTTTTTTACTACCTTCCTTACTAGCAACTTTCATTTGTCCCAGTTACATCGTACGTGGGAAGAATATTTGTCCTTGTTATACAATAAGTACTAAGTTGTTTACAAAGAGTTTTATTACTTAAATGATTAATCTTTGTAGTTTATAATTATAATATTCAATTGTCTGATATTTAAGCCTATTATTATGATTAAACTCACCCAAAATGGTTCAGTAGTTTTCGCGTAGAATATTCTAGTCACATGCTAGTTTATGGTAATTTGGAATATTCCTTTAAAGTTAATGGTGCAGCTTAACCAATCTAGTACATGGTCGATCGTGCAAGATTTAAGTGTAGCTTAAATTATGCAATATAACCATATTGCCATACAAATAAGGTTGTTATTCGTCCGTAATAGCTAACTTGTGTCGCCACACTTACATGCTGCTCATTGTAAATGCCTTTTCGTGCTTTAAGCCAGATATGACTAAGATCGTAAAATATCTGAATGTGGGAATGATTTCGTAAATTTATTAATTCAAATGCATTATACATAAAATAAACTTAATTGCATTTTATTGGTTCTATAAAACTTATAAGTAATTTTGAAGATGTTTTCTTGACGAGAATTCAATGATAATACTCCATACTTATGATTTAAGATACAATTTTCAGTAAATATAGCAAGTGAAAGTTTTGAAAGCAAGCTAGTGTTTATCGATGTTTGAAAGCAATAATGAAAGTGAAGCTAAGTCTTACTAACTTTTCATTATATTACGTTAGCATTGTATCTTGTAGACTATCAAGATTTTATATATCCATTTAATCCATGCTTAAAACTTTTGTTAGATAACTAGAATCCTTTGTTCATGCTGCAAACCTTTGTTACATTTATTCTAAAATCCTTTGTTATATGAAAAAATTTTCGTCATATTCATGTGAGCAAGGTTGTTTCTTACATTTCACTTGAGTCCTTTGTTATAAGAAAAATCCTTTGTTATACTCATTAGAGTTTTTTTTGCAGATTTCCCTGGTCTATGTTTTGCGTCAACAAGATGTGCCACCGTTGAACCTGGAAATACCTGGGACCTGGCACCTTTCTGCGGCAGAAGCACTTGCGTCGTGAGTGAAGATACACCACCACGTCTACTCGAGCTGGTTGAAGACTGTGGACCTCTGCCCATTGCTAACCCTAAATGCAAGCTCGATACTGGTAAGCATTCAAAAATGTCCTATACAAATCTTATAAAAAAAAATAGTACTGATTTTACGAAGAAAAATTTATCGTATGAACAAAAATGTGTATTATTTTCGATTGCTGTGAATTAATAACATATTTTTAATCTTTTTACTGATATTATAAAACTAAACATGTTTACGGTTTTTCTAATGGCAAAATCTTACAGTGAATAGAGATTTTTAAGTTGATATTTTTTCGTAGAGAAAGATAATGATAAAATAATATCTCCTGCGTAACAAAATGCTTTTTCTGTAATCAGACAAGACCAACAAGACCGCACCATTCCCCGACTGCTGTCCAATCTTCACGTGCGAGGATGGAGTCAAATTAGAATACCCAGAACTTCCAACACCACCTGAAGAAGAAAAGAAAGAAGAAGAGAAGAAATCCTAAATTCTATAGCATCATAAACTTAATATTAATGCCAATTCGGGAGAGAAAATCCAAATTTTTTTACCTATAAAATAAAAATGGTATATTTATTTTGTTTATTTAAGCCATGTTTAACGGGAATCTTTTTTGTTATACCAAACGTTTCGTCACTCACTTTCTAAAGTGATAGTATCTATTGTACAATTCAAAAGCGGTTTCCTGTTTCCTGTATCATTGTACAGATCCGGCCTGTTTCACAAAAAGGGCGGCAACATTAGGACACAATGGTTCTGACATTGTGACTTTTTTTTTTTAGAATAATCGGTTTTTTTAATTGAATACCTATTTTTTAGTGACATTTTGTGATATTGACGTGTAAATGATAGAAAAGTTATTCAATAAAAAAATACAAAATTTCTAATGGAGTATTTTATTTACCAAACCTTTGTAAATAAAAAATATATGTGACTTTTCTTTGTGTTTGATTGTAAAATATTTAGATAGAACTTGAATGGAAATAGAGATAAATGATAGAAGACATTTAACTCAATAATTTATTTGGGAATAATGAATGTTACAAGTATAATAAATACAGAATACAGTAACACTTTATAAATAATACAAAAAACAATGGATTATTTATTATAACACGACAAAAACTATTGATAAAACTACTTCAACATAGACAAGCCAATTATGGTAACAGTCTATAAATACATTAACATTGTCTATATTTAAACACATACTTAACAATATGATATTATATATTTCAAAACATTATTATTTTTTTTATTATTATTATTATTATTATGTTAAAATAATGAACTATATTGTTAAAATCACAATTCTCCTAATTTAACATTTGCACAAGACACCGATCGATTACAAACTTTGAGCTGTCAAGCGCACAGAATGGCGACTTAGAAAGCGAGCGTATTATATAAAATGTGATTGAAAATAATATATAGGAAAAATAATATTAATTTTTTTTTATAGTTTCACCAAAATATATTTTGTGCTTTGTAACAAAAAAACTGATATGTTTGTACATCACAATGGCTACAAGATCGATGAAGTGATTCGAGTATATTCTTTGGCTGAATGTTTTAGTTCTTGTTTTTGTTATAAAAAAAAAAACAGCCCGGAAGATTAGAAAAATAAAAAAGTCGAGGTAGAAGTAAGGAAGAATGGAGATACATATTTTTCTTCACTTTTAAAACGTCATGAGTATGAAAATAGCCACTGTTTCCCAAACTTTTGCATGACGCTATATAATTTCTATTAATTATATACATTTATAGAATAATTCCTCTCATATTGACCTTTTTACTTAATATATATTAAAATTTACTACCGAAGATATGCTTTAAAATTAAGTGAAACGCTTACAACTATTATAAATAAGCGTTCAAACGAAAACATCAAAATGCATAGCAAAAATAATTGAAACAAGCGCTTCTTTAGTCTCACAAACTCGTCGCTAACTACATTTAAAACCCGAGAGTAAAAAATATATTCAGAATTTCCAAATCAGGTTTCTATACAACAAATTCTGAGCCTAGATCTAAATTTTCCTCTTAAATTTTGACATTGACACTTGTATCTATAGTATGTTCGTTCTGACGTTCCTCTATAGTGTCTATGCCCAGGCTCGTATCTGTATATCTATGGTACCCTCTAATTTTAACATTGGCTTTACTAAAATCGGGTTCTGAAGCTCGGTCTGGGGGTAAATATAAAATTTGTCTACATTTCTGTATCTAGAAAACATCGACCAGTCTAACTTCTATAACAACAATCTAATTTGTAACTATGAACTATTACAGTACGTATTTGTTTATTGAAATATATGTAACGGTTCACAGATTACAAAATGTACTACCCTCTATAAAACCTTTATAAATTTTACCGACTAAGTACGTCACAGATCGAAGCTATAACAACAAGCGTAGGTCTATTTATACACAAACAAACTAACATTTACAAAAGAAGCTATTGTAAATTACATGATTTTTTTTTTCATTAATTCAACTATTCAAACTATGTCGGTATAAGAATTTGACACAATTTTTATTGTTTTCATTGGCAGTTGTTTTTACCATGTCGCAATATAAATGTCAATTAAAAATAGCAATGTTGAGCTAACGAGTTTTTGCTAAATAAAATTAAAAGGAGTCAATCTATAATCATCTACTCATTTTTGTGCGATGAACGACCATTTATATTTCTACACTATAACAATTATTTTTCATATATTAACTAATTCACTAAAAATTTTATAACATTGATATTACTCTTACAAACGTCAATATTTTAGAAAGAGCTTCAGAATGGTTTGAGTCGAGACGAAACTGTAGTAAGAAGAAGATAAAAAATATTTATAAAGCTAATTATTATCTGCTGTTTAATAAATTTATGGCACATAATCATATATATTAATTGTTAAGCGAAAATTAATTTCACATATTAAGATATTAATAGTAAATTATTAGATAAATACGCATTTAATTTTGAGAAACGCTGTCGAGAGTAATTAAGAAAATTGTGAAAGGTAGAAACCTTACCTAGCAACACAGATGATTTTAAAACAAGATTAAAAAACATCATTCCTCACAAAGAAATGAAAATATTATATTATTAGTATAGATATTTAAAAAATTATATTTATTAAACATAGAAAATTATTTATGCTTTTAAATAATGATATTAAAATAAGTAAATGTTTTAAAATCATCTCTGTATACAAGATATCGGGGAAGAAAAAATTTTTTGTCATTTTTTTTGTTTTTTTTTTTAACCGCTCAGTCTTATGACGTTTTGATTTTTATTATAAGGCCCACCATAGACAAAACGCTAAATTCACTTAACAGATAATGCAAATTATTTTTCAAATAATAATACATTGGTTTTGTGCAAACGAAATTTTCTTTTGTTTAAAAATATAATGTAAATGCCAAATATCATCAAAAATTCTATTGTCTATGGCCTAAATTCCGGCTGCTAGATCGAAAAAATATTTTTTTTGTATCTTTTTGTTTGAATTAAATTATTGTTTCCGTTAATTCTCTCTTATATGTTTTGTTGTTAATTTTATTACCAAAACGTTTGAAATATATATTCTCTTTTATATTGTAAGCTATACATGTCTCCAAAAGAGGGATTTGCTGTCGACGGTCACCCATCTTATTCTGGCTTGAGGCGGTGCCACTGAACAATCGTTTGACGTGGCTTTGTGATCATATCTTGCCAGTGTTTCGTTTCTGTTGCACCGGAGCCGTTCTTACCTGAAAAATATAATCAAAAAGTTTGTAGGCACCTAAATCATTGCATTCGGAAAAAAAATCCTTATTCTGAGCTTCGAATTACAGATATTTATGCAGGGATCAAATCTTTTTAAAGTTTATTAAAGTATTAAAGAGCTGAAAATAAATTAATCGTTTATAATTCAAAGACAGTAGAAGAAATAAAAGTTTGGATATAGTTAATAAATAGATATGGCTTAAAGACTTATCATGAAAAATTGTTAAAAAAATAATTATAGAAAGTATACATTACATTACACTGTTTTTTATAAAATATGTAGTTCATTGAATTTTATTTTTCATTAGCCTATCAGAGCCCACTGCTGAGTAAAGGCCTCTTCTCACATGGAGAAGGTTTGAGCATTAATCACCACTCTTGCTCAAGACGGGTTGGCGTTTTTAGACTTATACTTTGAAATTATAGGTCCAGGGTTCCTCACGATGTTTTCCTTCACCGTCTGTCAGTAATGTCTTAATATTCTTAGAAAGGACATATGACTTAGAAAAAATCACATTGGTATTTACCAGGTATACTGTTAGGATATTTAACAGAAACACAAATTGGTTAAATTAAAACAAGTACTAAAACACAGCAATGTCATTTATTTATTGCCATAAATATGAATATCATCGGTGGTAAATATTATAACCGTACCAAGACGAAATTTACTTTCAAAACGACTTAAAAGGAGTTTCAGTTGAGAAATTTACTAAGCTGATTATTTTATATCTTGAAAGAATTTTGGTAAGAATGCAAAAAACATTTACAGCTAAGATTTCGGGCTTCTTGAGCATTGCTATGATTTGGGGACTTTCCAAGTTTTCAGAAATTATTTAGAAGGCAGAGAATAATTGAAGATGTGGGAGAGAATAATATCAATAATAGCCAAAAGATCTATTTGGAGACATCCAGCCAAAATTATGAATTTTCCTATACTTTTTGTTGTATTTTATAAAATTAATGCGTAATTTTATATATCGGCGCTATCAGCTAAATAATGAAAATGGACATGAAAATAATTTGAGGCTGTCATCAATTATTATTATCAAAACCCATTAGTATTCATGATTATTGTTAAAAGTAATACGAAATCAAAGATTGTTTAAAAGGAGAATAGAACTACGTTTAAATCATGGTACAAATATGACGTCTGGAGGCATGACGGCAGAGTTCAGAGAGTGAGTGAGGGCCATTGAAGAATGTGGTTATGAAGAACCTTCTAGAAATATAGGAACATTAAGAACAATTGAAGTTTCGTTTTAAAATATCATGGAACGTGGTAGACGTGACATAGTGACGTCAGCGAGGCTGGCGTCTCTCTCTTTAAGAACAACGAATGTGTAATGAATCCGATATATATGAATTCATATTGTACGTACCAGCCAACAATATTCTTCCGATGAGTTCATTACGTCCGATGTTATCGAAATCCATGACTTGAACATCAAGAGAGCACTCCCTGATCTTCTCCCAGGGTACGTTGAAGGAGAAGGAATCGTTGAAAACCGGGTTCAATGTACACTTGAAGACAGCCGTCTTACGTTTCTCGATGCGTTTGTCACCAAACTGCAGCCAGACTTTGACGTATGGATCTGTAATGTCATTTTTATTGATGGTTAATAATAATAATGACCCATCGATGAAGGAACTCAGCAAGATCAAAGTTCTTAGTTTCCAGTCGCGATCTTGTTCATTCAAAAATCCCTCTTTAAATAGTTCAATATAATATCAACAACTGATATTGGCGAAATCTATAAGAAAACGCCAATAAATAAGAGAAAGACAGCGGATAAAATAACTTCAGTAACAGTACAGTTGCTTACAGATACAGTTTTGTCGTTAAAACGAGATAATATTTCAAAAAACAAGTATTTATATTATAAATTTCCCTAAACAAGAGAAGTTTATAAAAAAACCAAGGCGTGCACAAGAATTTTCCTAATGATTCATAATTCAGAATCCAGTATCTCATTTATAAATCGGAAGGTTTTAATTAAATTTCCCGTTTTTTTTTTCAACGGAACGAGTAAATGTGGAACGAAGCATTAATCATGAAAAACTTTATAAAAGAAACAGCAAATTTAAATGAGCACTGTCAACGGTTTTAAGTTGAAAAAAAATAATAATATTTTAATGTATTTTTCTCTTGTTTTGTGCTCAGAAGAAACAGATTTTATTTAGTTGAAAGAAATAACATCTTTATAATTGCTTGTTACTATATGTATATATATTTCTTGTGTTATAAATTAAAATGAAAAGCGACGTCGGTTAAAGGGACTTAATTAATGACGTTTTTTAATTATCACTAGAGCAACTTGAGCTCTTTCAACGATCGTAAATTTGAATTACGATCCCAAAGATCCGGTATCTAAATTCAAGTAATGCTGTTTCTGCCAGATAAATTAGTTTTATTATGCTGTAAAAATATTAATACAAAAGAATATTAAAATATTCTAAATAAGGAAAAAGAATATCCTAGTCCAGTTTTGAGTATAATACGATATACATATATTTATTATAAACTAGCTTTCCGTCTGCAGCTTCGCCCGCGTGGAGTTCGGTTATATCGCGTTTCCAAGAGAATCTTTTAAAAGTCTGGGATAAAAACTATCCCATGTTCTTTGTCAAGGTCAACTCTATCTCTGTATCAAATTTCTTTAAAATCAGTTCAGTGGTTTAGGCGTGAAAGTGTAACAGACAGAAAGAAAGACAGAGTTACTTTCGCATTTATTATATTAGTAGGGATCCATTTCATTTTCTAATTCAACTATCTATTATATACATATTTAACTATCTCTTGAAGTGTTCACACGTAATAAAACCTTTAAAAACATAAAATATATTTTTTATGATATAATTGCTATTAAATTAGAGTTTTTTGATTTCTATAGGAGTTGTATTTTTTTTGATTACATTTATAAACTACTGAGTGGTTAAGATAATAAAAAAACTAAGTTAACATTACAAGAGAGAAGTTATGCATTGACAATTACGTAACTGCTTATTTATGCTGGCATCTCATGAATAGGTAATTACGCTGTCTGCGCCAGCATTGTGAAATTTTAAGGCTTATTTACCTGGACTAGTTAGAACCCTCATCTATCAATCTATTATTCACACTAATAGACTCAATTTGATTGCGTGTGTGCCTTTATAAATATACTAAATCCCTACATTGTATGTCTATTAAGTAAAATAGAAAGAGTTAAAAAAATCATTAGTAAGTATTATAGTACCAACTGATCTTAAAAGTGTTTAGATTCTGACAGTCGAAATAATAACAAAAATAGTCCAAAATTTTTAGCTTGAGCTAAAACAGTCATTTCCAAATGGTTTTCGGTAAATAAATGATAAGAGTCACCTGATTTTCCGTTAATGTCTTTGGCCTTCAAGTTCCTAGCTTTCAATAGAGTGAGCGTAAGAACGCTGTTGCTGGGATGATAGCAGAGTGACGTGAGTAGTTCACCGCATTTGTCCTTTGCCGGAGGCTTCAGAGATTTCCAGAAGGAAGGCTTCTCGCTGAGATCCACCTGGAAAATTAATTAAGTTTTTTAGTATTACTTATTCGCTAAAGAAATTAGGGATTGCGTAATCCATTACACTTAATCTATTTTAAACAAAATTGGTTAAAATTTTTATGGGTATGACAGATATAGAGCAATTCACAACTCACAATTCAATAAATTAGCGTATCAATTTCTGTTGTTTACTTTTATAATATTTAAGTAAATTATCCTAATTTTTGTTATCACGATATGAATGGAAGAGGTCTATGATGAAATTTTGTGCTAATTAAAACTAAAATATTCGAAGAATTATGTTTTAGTATATTTTCTTGATATTCTCCATAGTGTACGTGGTGTTCACCAAATCCTTGATTTAAATCATTTTCACGCATACCTGACACAGTGGCAGGAATACCTCCCCGATAGAATCATCCCGAGAGAAGCGGTCGTAGTCGAACACGTGTAGATGTAAAACCTGAAAACATTGCTTGTATTATATTTACATCAATAACCAAAATTACTGAGACATAATTACAATAGTTATGAGTACAGAATTTCTAGAAATATCCATTGAAATAAGAATCCAAATAGAAATATGAATGCTCTCCAATATTCTTCTTGTATTTATTTAAAAGACGACATATAAGAACGTCCTCAAAAAATCAGACGAGTTTTTGTTCAGAACAGTACCTAAATAAAGGCTCCAGTTATTTATTACTAATGATCCAGGAAAAAAGGGTTAAAATTTTAAAAAAAAAACGATACTGTAATTAAAAACTCGGGTTCTGAACAGAATATAGAGATTCTTAATGAGTGGTTTAAATAATTTCAATTAAGAAATACTAACTCGACTCTGTAACTTTTGTATGGGGAAACCTTCAAAATAGAAGGTCTCATTCCATCGAGGATTTAGGGTTCTGCGTTTGATCTTCGTCTCCAGGCGATGTTTTTTATCCGGGAGCAGTGTGACCCGGACATACGGGTCCGAGGTGCCACTGAGATCTTTAGCCGGCAGTTCCTTGCCCTGGAATTGAAATTAAAGAAATGCCACTTATATTAAATGAAGAAAAAATTAATTGTTACAATTTGTTCTTATAGCGTGAACCAGAAATTAAAATTAAATCGAATGTTAACTTAAAATGCGCAGTCCTTAAGACCATCAAATGCAATGCCATGGGAAAATAATACATTAACAATAAAACGTATTCGCTCATTTTGTATGTCAATCAATTTTTTTTCGTACCCTCAAATTATATATTTTTACTGTATTTATAGTAAGTACCGTCATATTATTACTGTCTCAAGCATCTTAAGGTCTTTAAATAATAAAAATTTAACCAATACTTCGATTCACTTCATTTCGTATGGTCTAAAATGGTCTTTGTTTTGTAAAGACTTTGTTAAGTGAAGTCTATTTTATATTCCGTTCTCTCACTAAGTGCCTTGTAAATAGCGTTTTTCTTATAGTGAGACTGAAATATTTCTCTTTACTACTAGAAGACCTGGCGAACTTCGTATCGCTCTATAATCAAGAAATATATGTTACGTTTTTTTAATCTATATTTTTGGAGTTTACCTTTAAGCCATAAATCTCCGTGTTTTGAAGTGCGACAGAACGATTGACATAATAGTTAGTTGTCAAATCTAATGTCAAAAAAAACCGTTTATATGGGAAATAGAAAAGGGATGTTTTTAGGGATTTCCCGAAAATGAATCAATTTTTTCAGCTTTTAAACCTTCCCTAAGTCCTTTCAGCCGTTCTAGAGTTTTAGTGAGATTAAAGAACAGCAATTCATTTTTATATATAAAGATTTCTTACAAATATCAAAATGTCATCCATACGTCATTACATATCTGTCATTATACGTCAATTGCATAGCTGTCAATTGTGTTTCTTTATTCCACGTTTTATAGTGACTGACGTTTCATGTCAAGTCCCACGGGAATGCTGTCGAACGGGATAAAAAGTATCCTATTGCAATTTCCTGGCTCTAAACTACCTCCCTGCCATTTTTTAGCTAAATCGGCCGTTCTTGAGTTATAAGTGGAGTAACTAACACGACTTTCTTTTATATATATAGATTAAGAATTACTGAGAAATAATGTTATATACGTTTAAATTTTAAGGGTCTATTAAATTATTTGTACTCTACTAATATTGAGCTAGTATTTAAATAACAATTACGTAATCATTAAATATTTTGAACGGACTTATAGTAATAAATTAATTTAAATAGAATGATAAATTGCTTTACATAACCAATTCATCCCGAGTTCTCAAAATTATTTAATCTTGTTGCTTTATAAATAACAGTTAGTTTAATTTGATTTTTATTTTAAAACAATGTTTTAATTAATGTGTTCTTAAGCAATTTCAGAAGAAATTGTCATTGGTATAGAGTATCAGACGAAACCTCTTAGTATTCAATGTATTCACCGTAAGGGTGTCGGGTCCATCGTTGTAGGGAGAGGAGCTTCAATAGTGACTGGGACTTGTGACCCAGGTGTAGGTATAAATGCTCACCTCCACCGTCCAAGCTCCTCTCTCTATCAAACCGAATTTGAAAAGAACCTACTAGGGCTGCCTTCAAAGTACGTTCCAAGAATGAATTAATGTGAATTCTGGACAGGTCCAAGTCTTTTAGTAGGTTATAGAGAGATTTAGCTGTTATACCTCTCGCTCCCACCTCTACCGCGTACAAATCCACGACGAATCTATTTCGAATGGGTTCGTTTGTGAGCTCGTTATATTTATTGACCTTATGTTAAATAAATGCGTTGAAATCGTGGGATAATTTAGTCTACTCCTTTCTTAACAATAATAACTATTAATAACAATATATTACAAAGATTCTGTTTGTCCGTATGTGCGTCAATACTTTATATATATAACAAAACAATTATCAAACATCACGAACTGACTTGCTAATTTTCACAATAAATATTTATAACACTTATAAGGACTACAGAGATTTAATTATTATGTATTTCATTTTGCACTCATTTTAACTTTAATACTTTATGTTAAATACATAGCTGATCCCTACTAATATTATAAATGCGAAAGTAACTCTGTCTGTCTGTTACGCTTTCACGCCTAAACCACTGAACTGATTTTAATGAAATTTGGTACAGACATAGAGTTGACCTTAAGAAAGAACATGGGATAGTTTTTATCCCAAAATTTTGAAAGGTTCTCTTGGAAACGCGATATAACCGAACTCCACGCGGGCGAAGCTGCGGGCGGAAAGCTAGTAACTAAATAAACTAAAACTAAGGATTTATTTTCTTATCTCAACGATAAACACATAATGATAATTATTTTGAAATATAGGATATATTGTGTTATGTTTTATTGCTGTCTGAGATTGGATATGAAATTTCACCTGTATTTGTTACTGCGAACAATTAAACTAATGAGTGTAATATTTTAGTATAGCACTTTGATAGATACATATGTCATATTTTGGGAAGTTCGTCATATATATAGAAATGATATATATGTGTGTGTGTTTACTCAGAATTTCGTTACTAATAGTTATATTTTTAATATAATTTCTTTGGTTTTCAATGAATCAAAGATTTTGTGACCTTTATTTTTATTTTCCAGCGTGTATATGTGTGGTGCTTAAAATAGATTTCCTTTATCATCAGAATTTTGTTCAAACTGTTTATATTTTGATGTCTCATGAAATGTGGTCACAAAAAGTAAATATACATATTCACACATACACAACATCCACAGAAAGCAAGACATACTAAAGAAAGCAATGGTTTCTTGGTTGCAACGTTAAAATATGGAAAGCCTTTAGTTTTTGCTGATATTCTTGGACATTCTATTCGCCTCATAGGACTTTAATATGTATAGTATTTTTTTAAGTTATTAACTTGTATATATGTATAAATTTTATTAAGTATCCATGCAGTATGTTGGAATGTTTCTCCAACAATAACTTAATTTATATCCTTAAGGTTTCTATATCAAATTGTCTCCATTGTATTTCCTAGGGTATAAAATAATGGGTTTTGCTTTAGGCCCATTTAGTTATACCCAACCAATTAAACCATCTAAACTTTAGTAACGAATGCAGCAAATATAATGGTTAGACTCTTCAACCAGATAAGACGTACCCAATCCCTGTTATTAATCTAGCATCACTCATAACAATAGCTCAAAACTTGTTCGATTAAATAGAAGACCATATTGTACATTCTAAATTAATATGGACGATAAGCCAATATGAATGGCAGGAGATATGTTTCAATGTAGAATATATTTATTTGAACATTAGCAAACAGCTGATAGATAGAATTGGTTTACCAAGTAATAGTCTGACTACTTAATTCATTAGACTAGGCCCTGATAAATTTGGATATAGGAATAAACCAAGTATAATACAAACTGAGGCAAGTGAAAATCAATTTATGTATATCTAAGTAATTAATTTAAATGTAAATGGGTTTTAATTAAAATTTAATACATCTAGAGGTGATAAATGTAACGATTTATTGTCGATTCATTTGTAAGAAATACTTTGGTATAAAAAGAAATTATTATTCAGTTGTTAAAAGGTCCGCCTCTCATGCACGAGGGCACGGGTTTGATCCTGACCCCGGCAAGTACCAATGTGATTTTTCCGAGTAATGTATAGTTTCTAAGAGTATTTAGACATCACTGATTAATACATTTCCAAAGCGGGTTAATATCAGGCAGGCGGCCGGTCGTAAAAACAACTAGCCAATACTATTAACAATAAGTAAGGCTAAAGCTGGGAGATTGCCAGGTAGAAGAAGAAGACTTTGGAATAAATTATGATTAGAATCATGGTTGGATGGATAGAACAAAAAATTGAAAATTCGTTTTTACTTTATAATTTAATTTTAATGTACTCACATTTTTCAATTATCTCATGAAAACGTAAAGAATTTGTCAAGTAGGCAAAATAAAAGCTATTATAAAGTTTGAAGACACTTTGCTGGTTTCTCATTCGTCTACATCATTATAATTATTCAGACCATTGTAATTGCGGCCAGGCATTGTTTTATGCCAAAAAACAAATGTTCTCTGATTTGTATGAATAAAAAAATGTTTTTATTACAATTAGAGAAAATCAATGATTATGAGCCACAAAATTTACAAACAAAATGAGGTAACGTGAATATCTCTTGCATAATTTTGTTTGCAAATTTTATTACGAAAATTGAAATTATTGTCAGAATTTTGGAGGGTATTTTGACTATAGATAATTTTGTATACCTTACCTGTATAATCCTGAGAATGAGAGTGGTATTCTGGAAGTCATATTCCAAAGAGAAGTGGATTTGGCCGACGTTCTCCGATGGTTCGGAATTATCGATGTACATGTCCACCAGGGAGATTGACCGGTTCTGTAGGAACGCCATCTGTCAGCACGGGGAGACTTTACTATACACACAATGGTGTTCCACTACATACCAACCTGTTCCGCAACTATAACTTGGCTGATTTTGACCAACATTACAATTTATACGACCAATAATTCGAACTCACGACACAAGAAATTTTACCGCCGCTTTAGAAACTGAGCTATAGAGATACGCATGTTTTTGGTCGAAATTATATATTTTAGAAATCCGCCAAGCTTTTGGAAATATAAAATCTATATGCAGGTTATTTTTACAATAAAATAAAGGTTATTAAGATGAAATAATAAGTAAAGATGGGATAGATCGGATAGAAGAAATAGAAAAGGAAGAGAAAGATATTGTCGATTCATTTTCGTTTTCATTGTAATAAATGCAATTTTGAATAAAGTTTTGGTTTCATTGTGATATAAGCAATTAATGTAATTTTGCAATTTTCTTTATCTTTAGATGAAAAACGTAATTATGTTCGTAATTATATCACAATAATGAAATTTTGATATCGTTTTATCTAATGCCACATGATTTAAAACTCATCTTATTATTCAAGATACATTGTGACTACGCCAATTAAAAAGTAATTTTGATTTAAGATTTAAATAATATATTTTTAAGTATATGTAGTTTTCTATCAAATATATAAATGTGTTGGTAGCAAATAAAAATTTAAAGCTTTTATATTAAAATTATTAAATACGAATACTATTATTAAGAACCTATAAATAAAATAAATTATAATAAATTTAAATAATATGTACATGGGTTCTACTAAGATAATCGTTTTACTTTAAATAAAGAAATATAATATTTTCAATAAAAAATACCTAAAAACTAATCTAATATATTCTATTTAATAGTATTGAAAAATATATACAAAATTATAAAAAAAATGTAGTAAAATTTAGGCCTCATAGCTTGTGAAGTGAAAGAGTTTACAAAAAGTCATGTTGGAAAAATAGTTTTATTCAACATAAAAAAATAATCCGACTACTAAAATTGCCCAAATACTATTTGAACGTTGAAAATTTTTGAAAATTTTTCACTTCACTAGCATTTTAATTAGTTCATTTTTATTTCATACAAATAAAAGCCTTTTTATAGATGCTTTATATCTCGTAATTGGTTAAACATTTTAAAAAAAATATTAAAGAACGAAAATTATACTGTTGCTATAATTGTTTGAAAGCAATTATGAATTTCAATTTGCAATAAAAGTTTTCAAACTCTGTAAAGTTGTTATATTTCCGAGCGTTCGTTGGAAAACTCGGAAAAATCGGAATTCTTGGAAGTATCATACTGATATGGAAATTTTATGCAGTAAAATATTTTATACCCAACAAAATACATATTATATTTATAACTGAAATCATATGTAAAGATTTTGTAAATTTTTTTCTTTAATAAAATTTAAGTAACTCTAATTGACGTCAATACCAATTATACCTTTGTTATATTTTAATATTTAATATGAAAACGAAGTAATTTAATATGAAATGCGTTAATTTAATATGAAATAAGTAATAATGTTCTTACATTAATAACGAATTCTGTGTTATGTGCGATTATTAACTTGTGATATTATTCAAGCTTTTATCTAAACTATTCTAATATCTACATCATAAACGTAAATTTAATAAAATTATTTTTCATTTATCCATTGAGTGATGAACTAAATCATTTTCTATTAAAATCATCAGTTAAAAATCCGTGCGTTAAATTAAAACTCTTTTGAAAACTGTGGTACGAGTATGTGCTTTATCTAAGTCTATGCGATTATTTTTTTGTCATTTCTTTAACCAGTTTTATGTTGGTTTTATTTAAGCTTAAAATAAAGCGTATACTAAATCTATATGTTGAAGCTTCGAAGCCTTTTTTAGTATCTATTTTTTCCATATACAACCTCTTCTACCTACCATTTTTGAAGAAGATAGCATGGAAAAAGAATCCAGAGGTTAGTTTAGAAGAGAAGGAGAAAGGAACTAACAACATCACTATCACATAAGCTTTGTATTAAGACTAAATCATCTGAATGCGTGTACCTTTATATAAGAACGTGACAAACAAATTTGATCAACAAACAGAAGTACATCATTACTACATATAGGTTTTATGTCTAACTATTATACTTTACGTGTCAAACCGTTACTTACCATTTAAAACTTACCTTAATAAAGAAGTCAGTACTATAAATAAACCCAGTATACATATTTATAACTTAGGTACGAATAAGCCATATTAATAAATATGTATTTTTACAGATCATTCCCTTTATATACATTATTTAATATAGCTCCAAATGCTAACCTCTTTATGCTTTTGAAGGTATCTTTACTTATATATTTATATATGTATATAAAAAACAATTTCATACATTATAATGTCGTGTATATATTATGATTAAGACATCATTATGAAAAAAATTATATAAATATTAATATTTAATGATTTCTTTCGCATGTACATGTGAAATTCAAAAATATTAATCAAATAAATACAATGTAATTTTATCATACATAACACAAGAAAGTAGCAATTTTATATTTCGTTTGGTTATAAAGAAAGATCTATACAGACACAATAAAACATTACCTCTCTAACATCAAAGTCGGTTAAATGGTAATTTACTAATACACTACTCCAACACAATCCATTTGGTAGTGTATTAAATAATTCATAGGCACTTAAGCAAAGAGATGAGTCTTGCTATTATTTGAGATTTTTCTGTCTTATATATTGTTAAGGCTTTTATCATTGTTTATTATATTCGAAATACATTTCGAAAATCACACACTAAATGTCAGTGGTGAACTAATAGTTAAAGGTCCGCTTTTCATGCACGAGGGCGCGGGTTTGATCCTGGGAAGCACAAATGTGATTTTTCAGAGTCATATGTACTTTTTAAGAGTATTTAGACACCACTGACAGACGGTGAAGGAAAACATCGTAAGGAAACCTGGACTTATAATTTCACAATTATAAGTTTGAAATCACCAACTCGTGTTGAGCAAGCGTGGTGATTAATCCTCAAACCCTTTTCCGTGTGAAAAAGAGGCCTCTGCTCAGCAGTGGGCTCTGATAGGCTGATGACGATTCTTAAACTAGTATCTACACCTGGCTTTTAACCGAGAGTAAAAAGATATTAATTCCATTTAACAACAAGTTTTTACTTTTATTTTGTTGCTTATGCACTTTAAGCATATATTTGATGTTTTTTTCATAAGTTATAACTGATGACGGGTAAAAAAAAGTATCTTCAGTCTACAAATATATTTTGTGGTATTATATTGTGAATAATTGGAAGGACATAGACTTTCTTTCATACTGGATAAATACATATATTATATATTCATCCTTAGGTTTGTGAAAATCTTTTTTTACTTCCAAATCCACTTGACAGGTTAGAAATGACATAAATTTAGCTTTCTTATAAAGAGTTACATTAGTGATGGCTTCGTAAATAAATTGATTTATTTGAATATAATTTTAATTGAATTTAATAAAATAATAAATTTATAAAAAAAACTTTGATAGAACAAATATTCTTTGTACACTAGTAAGTATTAATCATTGCCGATTATTTCAAAAACAGATTGTGAATAAAGTTGCTTTAAGAGAAATTATTAACCAGCTTATCCTGAAATCCGTACTTGGTTTAAATGATATTAGCTCAAAGTTCTTTAAATAACAAAGTTTTGCTTATATCTTAAAATGAAATTACAAAGATAAAGTTTATGATAAATTTTATATCTTATTAACTTAAATTATTGATAACAAAAATGGACATTATTACGAAATCTTCACGCTTTTTAATATTAAATAAGACGAAGGTAACCTTATATTTAATCCTATAAGAAATAATTTATAACACGATTTGTGATATTAAAGAAAAAATTTATTCTTTTTTATATATATTTCTACAAATTATTCCGTATTTAAGCTAACTAAAGACATTTTATACTTTAAATAAAATAAGTTCCGTTACAAAATATTTTATTTGTACATAGAGTCATTGTAACATCAAAAGTAAAAGAAATTGTAATGTAAGTCATAAAAGGAAAATCTTGTATCATCAGAAACAAATAAAGAAAAGAATGAGATTTTCTTGTTACGCCATAAAATTAGTTTCAAAGAACTGTAATAATAACTCCCAATATTTAATGACTTCTGTAAGTAGGGAATAATGGAAACATTTGAAAGTTTAACAGAATATTAAAAGATATAAAGGAATTTATTGAGAAGTAATATTTTTTTAAGTTGCATTACAGAAAATATCTTATTGCCTAAATGATAGACTTGTATGGACACAATCGAAAAATTTTCTTACAGTTAATTCATATTGAATGATCTTACTTTTACAAGTACAAACAAATGTTGAAAATATAACAGAATTAATGGACTATTCTCGAGAAATGGTAATCGAAATGCCATTTGTAAAAGGAGTGCAATACTGAGACGTTTCAACATAAATTGCAGATGCAATGGAATTATAGGAATGAATTTAGTTTGTTGGAGAAACTAGATACCCAATTGATATTATGTAAATTTGAAATGTTAGCAAAATTTGTATTTCCAAGCAACGTTTTCGATAAATTGAATACTGTCCAACCGTAAGTAGTGCTGTCACAGAAACAAATATGTTTGTGAAAATTAATATTCATTAATTTTAATTCTATTTCAAGCTAGATAAATATCATGTTTGGGACTTTAGCTAGTAGTTAGTTTGTGAACAAGAAGAGTGGTTCTTTGTAACATTTGCAACAACAATGGATGATTAATTGTTGAAGTAAATGTACTAAATTCTCTAGTATCCTTAGTACGGTTTAATATTAGTAGCTTAAAACGCTTAATTAAGATAGTCTTCTTCTACCTGGCAATTTATCAGCTTCAGCCAGGGTCTGCCTTACATGTTGTGAATAGTTTTGGCTAATTCTTTTTACGACCGCCCATCTGCCTGACATCAACCCTCTTTGGGAATGCATTAATCAGTGTTGTCTAAATAC